ATAGACAGAGAGGCAGGGAGGATTTTTCAGTATGTGTAGTTTTATTTTTATATATCATATGGATTCGTTCTAGAACTAGAAGAAGCAAGGTCTGAAGAGACTCCGCTTACTAAGACAATAAGTTCTTTGTCTGGCTAAATGCTGATAGACAATTTTATTGGTTGAAGAAAATGTGGTATCTTCAATTGCATTTACATTATTACCTTATTGTATCCTCACTGAGATGGAAAGAAAGGTCAACCTATTTACTTAAGAAGCAGGGATAATGGGTCTCCACAGAGGAAGGGATAAATTTCTGTCTTGACTCTAAGGGCAAGTTAGGGTATTGTGTTGACAATGACAGATACATTCACTTTGACATGACCACATGTATATAGAACAAAGTATTCTCCACCAGAGGATATAAGGAGGGAACATTACAACCAGCCTCCATCCCTCCTGGTTCACCAGGAGGGATGGAGTAGTAGTCATTACTGATTTTCTGTAGAACTATGGCCCACAGACTCCATCAGAAGGTCAAAATTTCAGTTCTCTTCTGAGGGCCCTGCAGCTGTTAAGTCTCATGGAAACAAGATCTTTCAGAAATAGATTTAGCTGCAAGTTTGGTTGAATGGATGCAGGCAAGTGGGGTGGGATGGGATGAGGAGAGGAGAGGAGAGGAGAGGAGAGGAGAGGAGAGGAGAGGAGAGGAGAGGAGAGGAGGTGGTAGATTGCTCACTCTTTCCCCAGGTCTGGTATTACCTTTCCAAATGAGAGAAACTCCCGTTTCCAGCTAGGTGTTCCTGTGCTGAGTGCAAATTTGCTTAATACTTTAAATGATTGAAGAAAGCAGATGGGCTTGATCATTGCACGCATAATGATTAGAACAGTTTTGCGCGATTGTTTTGCTGCGTAATATCCATTTAATTGGGCAATAGTGTAAAATAACAAGGAAGTAAATTTTCCTTTTGAATTGGGCCAGGTATCCCGAGCAGCTGGATACCGTTTTTAGATTTTATTTTATTTTATTTTGCAAAATTTCTGCCTGTGGCCTTGCTGATCCATTTTGGTTGTTCTCACATGATTCTGCATTTGTGACAGTGTGACATTTTCTTAATAAGTGTTTAGGAAGTGATAATAGTTCTGAGTCATGGCTGACTGTGCCTGGCTGTTGGATGTAGTTTTCGCACAGTGAGACTTTATGGCCTGATTCACTGAAATATGAGACTGCTTACAGATTCCATGCTGAGGAACAAAAGAATAATGGACCGCAAAACACATTTCACTGCTATTAGCTTTTCAAGCAGATTGAGCCATTCGCTAGTATGCTTGGGCAATTATGTTTGCATTTGATCTTTGCCCGCTTCCTGTTTCCAAAAGTGAGATAGTTGTTTGCTTTTCTTTCCTTTCTCCATCCACCTTTGACCTGAGGCAAGGAAATACATTGGATTAACTGGGGCAAATTGTCAGCTAAGACTAAAGTAGAGATGAAAATTGACTGCATTGTCAATGACATGCCTCCAGCATATAATTTGTGTATATACTGCTGTTGTTCCCTGGTGTGTGTTGAGCCCCATCTAGTGGCCGGGGACAAATCTTTCATTGTTTGGAAATTGATTTGATGATGTTTGACCCAGAGGGCATCTATCCTCCCACCATCCCTCAATTCTGGAAAAAAACGTGCATCCTAAGAAGCCAGACTCTGTTTTCAGGTAACAGAAACATCTAGAACAGGGTGTCAAACTCAAGGCCTGCAGGCCCAATCTGGCCCATGGGGTGTTTAGATCTGACCTGTGGGCTGCCATGGAAATAGTGAAGGACCAACCCCCGGTGCTTCTGCCAGTGAGAATGGAGCTCGGGAGGGCCGTGCGTGGCCCTCTCAGGCTCTGTTTTTGGCCGCGATGGCCTGCTACAGTCTTCTACCAGCAAAAACAGAGCTCGCGGGGGGGGGGGGCGCACGGGTCCCCCGGCCCCATTTTTGCTGGCAGAGGGCTAACAAAACAAACTAAAAACAAAACAAAAGGAGAAATGTTTCCCCTTTTACATTTGAGCATCCAAAAAGGGATAGGAAAGGAGAAAAGAAAGAGGAAAGACAAAGAAGAAGATGGGAAGAGAGCAAGGAAGGAAGAAGAAGAAAAGAGGGGAAGGAAGAAGAAAGGAGAATGAAGAGGGAAGAGTGAAGAGTGAAGGAAAAAGAAGAGGGAGGGACGGAGGTTATAATGAGAGGGAGGTAGGGTCTGAGGGAACTCCTGCCTTAGCACTTGGCCACCATAGGTGCCCCCTGACATGAGTAACGTTGAGCTGGCCACACCCACCCTGGCCCCCTGAGGTCAAACACAATCCTGATGTGGCCCTCAATGAAATCATGTTTGACACCCCTGATCTAGAAGAATCCAGCTTAGTCCTTCTGAAGATAAAGTCTATATCCCATACACGGCATTACTGTTTTACCTTATCCTGTTCTTTAATAAAGTATCAAGATTTACATTTACGGTCTGGTTTATTAAAGGATAGGAGGGTTTAGCTGCATGTCAAACTATACACAAAGTAACGTAATCAGGACAGAACAGTCAAAACATGGAAGTAATGTATAATACGTGGAAAGCTGGCCAGTCATGCTTCATCATGCATTGATGTTGAGCTGCGCATCACTGGCAAAATAGATCATAATAAAGAGCCATCAAAGATGCTGATTTTTGGGACATATATGGCCATCAAAGATGCTGATTTTTGGGACACCGGGAAATATATACTACTTGAAGGAATCATCAGGACCTGTCTAGATTTTTTTGAACATCTTTCTTACACAGAAGATTGCTATAAAACTATTGTTATTCTTTTTTTCCTTTTTCTACCAAAATGCCCACTGCAGATACTGTGATGAAAACAGACTGTTGATTGAAAGAATCCTGTAGGATATATATGTGTGACTGGGGGCATCATCCATTTTTCAGCAGAGGACAATTTGGCAGTTTTACTTCCAGTGCTGTGGGTTCCCGAGAACTTGAATCTTTCAGATTTTCCATTGAAAGGAAGCCCTATAACCGTGATGGCGAATCTATGGCACATGTGGTGGTGGCACACAGAGCCCTCTCGGTGGGCACGCGCGCTGTTGCCAATTGCTCTTCCTGGTTCCATCGCGCACTCGAGTAAAGACCAGCTGGCTGGTGCACATGCACGTACCAGAACCCGGAAGAGAGCAGCTGTCCAGCGCGCATGCACACAACGGAACCCGGAAAAGCAGCTGGCCGCTGTGCAAATCTTTAATCTTAATCTTTTTTCAATTTAGTAATGTTATCGAAAAGTAAATAAAACTTCAAAACAATATCTGATGCACTTTGTTTGTAGCAATATTTCCCAACCTTGGGAATTTCTAGGAATGTGGACTTCAGCCCCAAGAATTCTCATCAAAAACAAAATTAAAAGAGTTAAAGGTATTTTGGAGGTTTTCTAGTCCAATCCCCTGCTTAATCAGGAAACCCTACACCCGTGATGGCGAACCTATGGCACACATGCCACAGGTGGCACGCAGAGCCATATCTGTGGGCACGCAAGCATTGCCCAGCTCAGCTGCAGCGCGCATGCGCGCACCAGCCAGCTGATTTTCAGCCCTTCTGGGCCCACCGGAAGTCAGGAAACGGGCCCTTTCCGGCCTCCAGAGGGCCTCCAGGAGGTGGGGAAGGCCATTTTTGCCCTCCGCAGGCTCCAAGAAAGCCTCTGGAGCCTGGGGAAGGCGAAAAACGGGCCTACCAGGCCCACCAGTAACCTTTTTGCCATTGCATGCCAAAAGTGTGGGGAGTGTGGGGGGGTCGCATGTGCGGGGGCATGGCATGGGGGAATTGAATTATGGGTGTGGGCACACATGTGTGCGACCCCCCCGCCGCACTCCCCCGTTTTTGGCACGCAACGGCAAAAAGGTTAGCCATCACTGCCCTACACCATTTCAGACAGATGGTTGTCCAATCTCTTCTTAAAAACCTCCAGTGTTAGAACATCTACAACATCTGTAGGCGGGTCGTTCCATCTAACTGTCAGGAAATCTCTCCTTAGTTCTAGGTTGGTTCTCTCCTTTATTAATTAACTTTCCATCCATTACTGCTTGTCCTGCCTTCAGGTGCTTTGAAGAATAGGTTGACCCCTTCTTCTTTATGGCAGCCCCTCAAATATTGGAACAGTGCTGTCAGTGGTCATGCTGGCTTTAGAATTCTGGGAACTGAATTTCACATTCCTGGAAATTTCCAAGGTTGGAAAACCCTGGTTTATAGACTGCCCAGAACAGACTAATCATGATTTGCACCCACTTCTCTCTCCCCCACATAACATTTCTGATATTTTACCTTCTACATGCAAGTAAGAAACTCTGAAGCTTTCAAAACATTCATGGTTGATCTTGTAGCTTTTGTTAGCCTTTTAATCTTAATCTTTTTTCATCGTTATCGAAAAGTAAATAAAACTTCAAAATAATATCTGATGCTAGGAAGGAAATATAACATTTTAGATTCAGATATAATGACTGACGTGCCATAATTTAGGAGTGCAATGGAGGATTGGTTGGATGGGGTTCTAAATATATCAACAGAAGTGAAATTGTTGGGCTGAGAAAGAAGGATAGTCCAATTGAAGAAGATCTGATCAATGAGCAAGATCACGAAAGAACTCTTCATCAAAATCAGCTGTGCTATATAGTTGCTTTCCAAGGCACAAAACAAATTTGCAACTCCATTTTAATTAGATAGTTTCCTTCATAAAAGTAAATTATCATCAACTTTTTATCTCTAAAATGCATTTTAGCTTTTTTTTTTTTGTTAAAAAAACTTTTATTCCCAGTACTTTCTCTTATATTGATATACTTGCAATACACTTGGGGATAGTCAAGACTATAAAAACTGTAAAATACTGCCTGAATATTAACAGCAACTTATTTATGAAGCTAGAATACATTTAGAATACAGAAGGAGCACTTCATTACATTTTGATGTGTTTACCATGGCTTCATCCCTCTCCTTTTTCCCTCCCTCCAGGAATTCCAGAAAGGAACTTAATGACATACGATTTGAGTTTACTCCAGGCAGAGGTAAGACTTTTAATTGAAATTATGTTTTTATGACTCCAAATGGAATTTCAGAAATTGATTTCTGTTTTATCGGCTTAGTATAAATTAGCTCTATGAAATGTACCAACCAAATGTTTTAGACTATCCTAGTTCACCAAAACAAATCTAGTGCCAAGTGTGCATGTTTTTAGTGGCATAGTTATGGATTGAATGGTTGAATTCAGAGGATGTTATATAGGCGAAGAACTATCTGGTACTTTTGCTTGATTTTAATCTAATGAAGTAAAGTCCATTATTGCCTTCCTGCTGATAGCTGATCTAAAAGTTTTATACTAAATAAAATGTTATGGTATGCCAGTAAGTGGTCCTGATGTAAAAACTAACCATAGGCAGAATATAAAATATGTCAAAGGCTTGATAATGATGCTTTTAATACCATCTCCCATATTCCTCTAGGAGATACTATAATGTGTCCCCTAGCAACAACAAGGAAAACATAGCTGTTGAATACTTTAATCTTTGTAGCATACTTCAAATAGCAGCAGCTCATCTATTGTCAGGCACAAAAAAACCAAGTCCACAAGTGAAGGCCCAATTAAACTGATTTATTGCTAAAAATCTCTGGTGACAGGGATCTACTCAACTAACTGGTCAGCACAGTTAACAGAATTCAAGTGGGGTGGAGTTGGACTTAGTCTGCTTGCGGCTATGTAGGGATTCTAGGCCGATCCTTCTTTTAACTCCGCCCCCAGGTTCTTCTACTGCGTCCCCTATAGCTGAATGTCCTAAAGAAGTATTTGTAATTGCCTTTGCTGATAACCTGTACAGGTGGTCCTTGACATACAACCATTCCTTTAGTGACTGTTCAAAATTACAATGGCACTGAAAAAAAAGTGACTTCGAACTGGTCCTCGCACTTATAACTATCACAGCATCTCCACAATCATGTGATCGCCATTTGCAATCTTCCCAGCTGGCTTCCGATAAGCAGAGTCGATGCAGGAAGTCACTTTCACTTAAGGATCATGCAATTGACTTAACAATTGTGGCCAAAAAAAAAAAGAGTTGTAAAATCCAATATGACTCACTTAGCAACCATCTTGCTTAGCAGTGGAAATTCTGATCCCACCTGTGGTCATAAGTTGAGGACTACCTGTAATGGGCATAACAGAAATCCAGAGGGAGGAAAAATACTGACTGCATGGATAATAGTGAAGAATGCTAGATGCTGTAGGAACAGCTTCTCCCAAGCTACAGGCTGCCCCTTTCTGCTTTAACTAAAGCTTGTTCAGGTTTAAGCTTTGTAGATAATTTTTTAAAAGCTGCGGGTATTCAAGACAGCCGTGTTTTAATTGACCTGTCCTTTGGAAATCCTTTTATTTTTATCGTTGCACAGCTGACCATGCTTTAAAAGCAACCTCAATGCATATGTAAATAAAACAACAGTATTGGGTCTCTGTCTGACATCTGCAATATACACAGTTGAAGATACAATGGCTAGATATAGTTCTCCTAACATATGCATTTTGATTGTAGCATAAAATGTTTCTTCACTGAAAATATCAGAAAGCGGGGTAATATAAGAATATATCAAGTTGAGACTGTTGGAACAACATAGCTTAGGAAGGCTAGAATAGACTATGAACAATACTTACAAAAGGTACAGCAGCTTTCTATATTAATGTGCAGCTATAGTCAGTTTTTTTCTGATGAGGAAATGCTAGTGCTGTTCTTCAATTGAAACCTTTTGTGTAGACCAGGGGTGTCAAATTGGCGGCCTGCCAGCCGGATGTATCACACACAAACCACGACCATCCTAGCTCCGTGAAGGGGGAAAATGTCGCGAAACATCACGTGACAGCAACATGACGCGGCGAGTTTGACACCCATGGTGTAGATCCAGTAGGAGGCTTCCAGGTTACAATAACATTTAGCTTTAGATGTTTTGTGTGAATGGAATTACTCCCTTTAAATTGGGGAAAGGGAATAAAAATGTTATGTCAGGCAACCATGCTTGTTTAACAGCATTCTTACATTTCCGTATATCTTTGAATAAAGATATCCAATTATGTATTATGAGAGAACTTTGGTACTTAAGCAATAGGCCTTTATAGGCTTTGTGAAGAATGTATCAGTGGGGTCCTATCATGTTGAAACTGCAGAGTAGTAAGTAATGGAATGCAAGTTGTTTTTAATGAAAATTGTTTTGATTTAAGCACATGTTGGCAATGGATGTTCATAGAGTAAATATACTTCTTACACAAATTGCCTTGGCTTATTGTTATTTTTCATTTTTTTCTCACTTTTATTAGGACTAATGCCTATTCATTTCACATTTTACAGACACGGCAGATGGTGTATCTCAAGAGCTGTTCTCTGCAGGCTTGGTTGATGGCCATGATGTAGTTATAGGTAAATTATGTTTCATTCTGAGATTACGTTATACCCAAAACTCAGAACATTAAATGCATACAGGCCCATTCATAATAACATCCGTGCTTGGATTTTTATGGAACCCCTCCCCTCCCCCCCCCCACACACAACATTCTTTCTTCAATTGACAATGTATATTTCCTGATATGATTTAGACAAATGCTTCACTTTAGTTTAATTCAGGTGTTCTTTCTTCACTTTGATCTTTATGTTCTAAAAATCTTATATTAGTGCCTCTGTTTTTCTGTCCTTTCTATTCCTTCTGTCATGTCCCTTTGGATTGTGACTATTGTGTAATTGTTCTTTGCCAGCCTTAATAACTTCAGTAAACCTCAGAAAATCAGACAAAGGATTTAAATTCTATAGGATCTTCATAGATGATGGGTAACTATTTTCTACATCAGCAGCTACTTGGGATCTTAAATTATTAAAGTGGTCTTTCCCAGCTTGGTACCAATCAAATGGGAAAAGTTGAAAGTATGTTCAAAATTTGTGATTTCTTTCTTCTGTAACTCAAGCTCTCATTTTACAATCTCAGGATGAAGAAGAATTAAGTAAAATCCTCAATTTGAGTTTAAATCAGGAGGACAATAGGACAATAGAATCTTGAATTTACTTTAATTCCACTTAATATTGTCGACATTGTTCTGCATTTGTCTTTACATAGATACTGGAAATTGTTTAGGACTTTGATGGGAAAGATCTGCCAGAAAATGCCAAAGATCTATGGCACTGTTTCTCAAACTCAGCAACTTTAAGATATGTGGACTTCAACCCCCAGAATTCCCCAGCCAGCATGCTGGCTGGGGAATTCTGGGAATTGAAATCCAAGCTTCCTAAAGTTACTGAGATTTAAGAAACACTGATCTGTAGATTCATTCAGTGAAATAGACTTAACAGTGTCATTTGTGGAGCTTCACACATTTTTCTTTTTTATTATCTATGTGTATACATAATATTTTTAGAAATTATGAACAAGGGAGACATATAATATTTCATATTATCCCATGAGAGATGCAAGTTGCAGCAAAAACTTGTTTTGTGGTTGAGCTCTGTCACCTTCCAGAATGATGAAGAATCAGTGCCATCTCTTTCAATAAAATACCAGATATTTAAACCTGCCAAACTTTCTTCTTTCAGGGCTTCTGTTTTATTTTATATATATATATATATATATATATACATACATACATACATACATACATACATACATACATACACACACACATATATACATATATACACATACATATATTTATTTATTTCTATCAAACAGAAGAAATTTTGCCATTTCTTACAGTGTATACCTCCTCGTTTATAAACAGTTCTTCCTGCCATCCTTCAAATCAATATTGTTCTGTAATTTGAAATGGCAAGGATAAATTGAACCTTTTTTTTTCCAGGAAGGAAAATGTAGCATACATTCTTTCCCTCTGTTTGCATTTCAAAGAATCCTGTGAATTACATGTCATTTTTCAGGTGAAATGTGCAGAAAATTGACCTGTTGTTGATGTGAGAAAAATACAAAAATTGAATTTAGTGAAAGTGCTTTGAGATCTGAGATTCTATTTATTTTCTTCATGAGCTATAAATAATAGAAAATTGGAAAACACAGATGAACAGGGCAATATTTTTCTCTGACTTAATATATCTTTATATTGTATATTAATAACTATATCGAGTAAACCTGAAAACTTCCAACAACATGCAGAGATAGAAAGTCTTATTGTATGTGTGGGGTAAGCACACTTTCTGTGTGGTGTTGATTTAAAGGAGGCTTCAAGTGGTGTTTAAAAAGATTTGATATGAGGCTCAACATAGGTTTAAAAATCCAAATAATAATTTCAAGTCAGCGTATCTGTAAAATAGAGAAACTTGAATTTTTTAATGACTTTTTATTTCTTGTTCAAAAGATAAATCTTACATGTGGTACAAAGCGCAAGTAACTTTGCTTGAATTCATCAGTTCTAGTTATGTCTGTCATTTCCACTTTAATTTAAATTTAGATACCCTTTTCAGAATAAGAGTCTCTTGGCTTATGTCGAACCATAAATCAGCACTTAGCCTGATGCCTCTAATAAAAATAAGATTTATGGCCCATTTCCTAAAGCAGGGTCATCCATGAATTTACCTCATTCATTCATTTAGAAAACATTGCTTGCATTAGCCATAAATAAATTGCTCCAGATCAGATGATTTTTGTAAGAGTAAAAGTAAAAGGTAATCCTCTCTTCTTACAGACACACTTACATGCACGCATGCGCACACGCAACATGTTTATGATGCTGGAGAGACATCTGCATTCATTTTTTACCCTTGCCAACATGGCCAATGATAAGCAAATTCAATAAACCTGGAGGAGCACCAGCTTGCTGCTTGGGTCTTAAAGTTCTGTTGTGCCTTAAAACCAAAGTAACCACTTCTTGAATAGCAGCTCACATTAGAGACAGCTATGCCCACATCTAGGCATGTTGGGATAGTTGTATTCCTTCTTGTGATCCTTCCTTTGGGGTTGTGAATGTAATTGGGCTCAAAGGACAAACTCTGAATGAGATTCTTGTCAAATATTTTCATTCAGGGCCTAGGGCTGATTAAGAGACATCCAAAACTTGTTTGAATGTTAAGTCTTAATCTCTTATGGAAGATGAGAAAATTCTTCCAATGTCTTCTACAGCCATCTCCCAGATGTGTTAGGCCAGGGGTGTCAAATTCAAGGCCCATGGGGTGCTTAGATCTGGCCCGCAGGACTGCGCGCAGCCCCCCTGGGCCCCGTTTTTCCTTGCAGAGTTCTGCAGGAAGCCATCACGGCCAAAAACTGGGCCCGGGGGGACAGGAAAGGAAAAAGGAAAGAGGAAAGACAAATAAAAAGAAGGAAAGATGGGAAGAGAGCAAGGAAAGAAAAAAAGGAAAGAGGGGAAGGAAGAAGAAAGGAGAATGAAGAGGGAAGGAAAAAGAAGGAAGGAAGGATCCCCCAACTTCTGCCTGGGCCACCACAGTACCCAACATGAGTAACACTGAGCTGACCACACCCCCTGGCCCAACCCCCCAGCCCCCCCCCGAGGTCAAACACAACCCTGATGCGGCCCTCAATGAAATCGAGTTTGACACCCCTGTGTTAGGCTGATAAGAAAGCATAACTTTCAGTAGTTACACTTGTTAATGTGAATCAAGAAATCTATAAAATCCCTTTTAGTTTTAGCTTTTATTCCCTGTCAAAACGGCATTTTAGTTCACTGAAGATTGAGTATGAAGAGATGGGCTTTTTTCGGTGGCCAATGTATGTAATGCTAAACATATACTATAAGAGGAGGCTGAGCTGGAGATGCAGCCAAGAGAGGCCTTGCTAGGGGGAAAAAAAACTACACTTAGCAAAGTTAAGTGTTCCAGCTATAACTAAGTGATTTTGGCAGTAAACTGCAATGATGCCTCTACAACACAATACATAACATGTTCTGATGTCATTATGTAAATGCTCTGAAGATATGTGAGCGTTTGATCATCTGATGCAGATATCAGTCATCTCATTTACCTGATGACATAATCACACAAGCTTTGTTATTTGCCCACTCTGCTCTTCCTGCAAATGCTAAGGGGTCAGCTAGAACAGGGCTGTCAAACTCCCGTTCCGTGGGCCGGATGCGTCACGCGCTGACCACGCCCGGTTTAGCAATGGGGGAAAAGGTCCCGATATGTCACGTGACGCCACCATGGCAACGTGAGTTTGACACCTCTGAGCTAGAATCTTCAGTAGACAAAGCGAATGATTCAAATGCCCCCCCCCACTTAACCTTTATTGTCCTGAAAAGTAAAAGTCTTGTGCCATTGGACCCCTAAATTTAACATTCCAGCAGAACAGCTAAGAAGGGCCTAACTCAGTGATGGCTAACCTTTTTGCCATCGCGTGCCAAAAGTGGGGGGAACGGGGGGGTGTCGCGTGTGCGTGTGCCCACATCCATAATTCAGTGCGCCCCTCCCTCCCGCGCATGCGCACGTGACCCCCCCACTTCCTCCTGCTTTTGGCACGCGATGGCCCGGTGGGCCCCCGTAGGCCCGTTTTTCCCCCTCCCCAGGCTTCAGAGGCTTTCTAGGAACTTGGGGAGGGCAAAAACAGCCTTCCCCATTCCCCCCGGAGGCCGGAAACAGCCAGTTTCCCGACTTCTGGTGGGACTGGAAGGCCTGAAAATCAGTTGGCCGGTGCGCACATACGCGCTGGAGCTGAGCTAGGGCAACACTCACGTGCCCACCAATATGGCTCCGCGTGCCACCTCTGGCACCGGTGCCATAGGTTCGCCATCACGGGCCTAACTAATCAGAGCTACTGTACTTAGCTTGCTGGATATTATAGTTCTTCCTGATAGGCTAAATGTGAAATCTCCATTGTAAAATAATTGTATATTTTAGTGAAGGAATATTCTCCGGTGCCACATTTGCTTATGAAAGTTATATTTGATTTTTCTTTCTGAATATGTATACAGAGAGCAAGAGGTGTTAAAATATGCATGAAATAGATTTCTGGCAAGAGTGAATGAAAGGCTGATTGTTAGTTTCATGCAAAGTATAGTAAAAAGAAAAACAAAAGTTAACTGAAATGGCACACTATGTAACATTATTATTTCTCAGTAGCTCAGAAAGATCACCTGCAGGAGTTTGCCCTAAAGCGTGGATTTGCTGAAGGATAGAAAAACAATATAGTTTCTTTTGAAAAAGCCACAGTGGTTTTATTCTGTGACTCTCCTTTCTTAAATGTAAACATTGCTAAGTTTGAGAGTTGAAACATTGCTAAGAGTCAACATTCAGCTTCTTCCTAATTAGCAAAGGTCTTCGTAATTCAAAGACAAGAGACTATTTGAAGAACTATCAATACCTGCCATGTTTTATTTTATTTTATTTTATTTGTGTATTTATTTTCCCTACCTTGTCTCTTGAAATAGACATCTAGTTGATGTCTTTATACATAACTTTCCCTCCTGTTCTTTAACGTCCCGTGGTTCCTAATTACAGGAAATCCTTAAAGCCCTGGGCAACCCTACCAGACCAAAAGCTAAATGTTTAACATTATTATGTGATTTATATATATAACTGTATTATATACAGGTAGTCCTCAACTTAACGACCACAGTGGAACCTAACATTTATGCTACTATGTGAGAAATTTATTAAGTGAGTTTTGCCCCGTTTGATGACTTTGCTTGCCATATTTGTTAAGTGAATCACTGCAGTTGTTAAATTAGTAGCACGGTTGTTCAGTGAATCTGACTTCCCCATCAGAAGATTGCAAAAGGTGATCACAGGACCCCCATACACTTCAACCATCATACCAGTGATGGGTTCCTCCCAGTTCAGCCCGGTTCTACCGAGCCGGTAGCAGTGACGATATGACATCACTGAACTGGTTCTTTTTGTTCGGGAGCTAGGCCCTCCCGCCCCCCCCCTCCACATTATTCTTACCTTTTATTTGGCCCCGCCCCCAATCTATTCGCTGCCTCCCGAGTCCCAGAGCTGATCGGCTAGAAGGAAAAAAACTGTTTAAACTCTTGCTGCGGGGCTTCAAAGGGCCGCCCTACAGCTGATCAGTATTAAAAGGCAGTGTGGTGGTAGACCGGTGCCTCCAAAAACAAATGGGTAGACCGGTGTCTCCAAAAACAAATGGATAGACCGGTACAGCTCTGCAAGCAGTTAAAAGCCTGGTAGAGCAGTACCTCTGCTAAATCCTAAAGAATTGTCACATGACCATCAAACCACGCCCACAAAATAAGCCACGCCCACAGAACCGGTAGTAAAAAAATTTAGAACCCACCCCTGCATCATACATATATGAGTCAGTTGCTAAGCATCTGAATTTTGAGCGTGTGACCATGGGGATGCTGTAATAGTCGTAAGTGTGAAAAATGGTCATAAACATTATTTTTAGTGCCGTTGTAACTTCGAACAGTGACTAAATGAACTGTTGTAAGTCGAGGACTACCTGTATTAGCATTTTTTGACACCAAAGCCACTTGGGCTTTTGATGATAAAACTAGACCCAGGAATATCCTTGGATTGTGTTTTTTTCCTTTAGGACAGTGTTTCCCAAACTTGACCCTTTGAAAATGTATGGACTTCAACTCCCAGAATTCCTCAACCAGGCATACTGGTTGGGGAATTCTGGGAATTGAAGTCCATGCATCTTAAAATAGCCAAGTTTGGGAAACACTGCTTTAGGAGAAGGACAATTCCACCCCATTGTATTCATTTTGAGAACCAGCCGTGCACCAGTGGTTATTATATGGTTTCAGTTCATTGGCTATCCTCTGACCAATTATACTTCCAAGGACAGATTCAATACATATGTGACTAATGGCAAGGAGCTTGTAAACTAAGCAGGGTCGGACCTGTTTTTTTACATGGACATCCCTTGGCTGTTGGTTAAACTGAGACATCAGAAGTAATTCCAGAAGGTAATGGCAAATGTTATTGATACTTTTGCCATTACGGGTAATCCTCGACTTGCAACCATTTGTTTAGTGACCATTTGTGAAACAATCAGTCCTGGTATCAGCTGAGACAGTCCTGGTCTGATGCGATCAAAATTTGGACGTCTTGCAACTAGCACGTATTTACAATGGCTGCAGCATCAAATGGTGTCAGGTGATAACCATTTACAGACTTCCCAGCCGGTTTCTGACAAGCAAAATAAGTGGGGGATGCTGGATTCAGTTAATGACTGTGCAGTTGACTTAAGTGGCTGCAACCCAGGGGTGAAATGCTCCCGGTTTGGACCGGATCGCCTGATCCGGTAGTGATTGCAGCGGGTGGTTCGGAGAACCGGTAGCAAAAATCCCTGCCCCCCCCATGCCCAGCTGAGCCATGCGATCATCAAAGGCCTTTTTTTTTTACTTTTAAAAACATTTTTTCTATAACCTCTTCGGCCGAAAAAATGATTTTAAAAGTTAAAAAATAAGCCTCTGATGATTGTGTGGCTCAGCTGGGATTGGCTAAAGAGGTTGTAGGAAAAAATGCTTTTAAAAGCCTCTGACGATCCCAGCTGAGTTGCCTGATCGTCAGAGACTTTTAAAAGCATTTTTTTCTGCAACCTCTTAAGGTTGTAGAAAAAATACTTTTAAAAGTAAAAAAAAAAAAAGTTGGCCACGCCCTCCCAGTCACATTACACCCCCCCCTCCACCAAGCCATGCCCACAGAACCGGTAGTAACAAATTTTACATTTCATCACTGCTGCAACCATAAAGGTCATACATAAAGGGCATGAATCACTTAGCTGCGTCGCTTAACAAATTTCAATCCCTATTGTGGTTGTAAATCGAAGATTACCGGTAAACCTGTACCTTCTTCAGTTGCCTATAAAACCTACATTGATATATCCATGAAATCACTACAAGGAACTGGATTTGAAGGAGGTATCATTTGTCCTCAAGACTCTGATCTTGCCCCGAATCCTCCAATGAACTCAATACTTGAAAACAGGAAGGGCAGAATAGAACTGAAGGATCTTATTTTACATTTAGGCACTTTTGGTGTACAAGATTCCCCATTCTGGAAATGATGCTGGTAGCAGCAGCAGTAGTTCTTCCACTTCCAGTACTTAACAATGAAAATTAGGCCATATTCAATATTCTCGACTTTTATGTGTGTACAAAGGATGCTGATTTTGTGGCTTGGTTTTCCATTCCTAGCCTATTCATGAAAGCAATAAATAATAGATTTAGCAATAGATTATGCATAGTAACATCAGCTATTGGGTTGTCATGCTCATTCAAAGTGAATATAAATGTAAAATTAAAGGCATGACACAGACATGCTATTTCTCAACTTTCTCTTTATGAAGCCCAACAAGGAGTAACCCTGATGAAGGTACTCCTGAAAAATTACATTATTTTTTTTTATTCTAGGGAGGAAAAAATTATGTTAACCTTGACTTCAGGCTTCCTTTTATAAATGTTTCATACCAAATGCCTCATTCTGCTCTTCGTACGTAAATGCCTTGTATTTATTAACTAAATACCTTGTAACTTGGTGTGTACTCCATGCTTTTCATGCTTTGTTTTCCCCAGTTGCTGCTAATTTACAAAAAATAGTAGATGACCCCAGAGCCTTGAAAACATTAACCTTTAAACTGGTAAGTAGAAATACCGTTGGAGGTAAAATAATGTAAGTAAATAGGAAAAAATTACTGATCTTTTTGAGCAAGGTACTTTCTTTATTTCTGGCCTTTATTAGTCTCTCTTTTTTTTTTTAACTGAGAGCTGACCTTTCAAGCATTTTATTAATCTATGCAAAATGAAATTAGAAAGCAGAAAACAGCCTTTGTAGCTTTTTTTTATTTCACTCGCTGGAAATCATAATTTATCAGAAAGGAAAAGAAAAGCCAGCACTCCTCTATCAATCTCTAGTGAGCTGACAAACCCTGACATATATCTTGTGTCCTTGTATCTCCTGGTGCCTCCCATGTATTGGCTGACAGCGGTAAGACTTTCTGATTTGTGTTAGTTGAATCCCTGAACCTACAATAATTTATTTCTTAAGAAGACAGTAAAACTAAGCTTGGGCATCTGGCGTGAAGTTTGCATTTTTCTGGGTAAATAGCTTACTGTTTGGGAATTGTAGAAATCATGATGTATTTCCTGAAGTCCAGAAGACAATAACAATAGCCGTGCTATAGGATGTTTAGCTGCCCTCAGCTATAGTTTGTTTGTTTGTTCACCCATCATGCTTCCCCTCGCTTTTGCTTTTTTCATGGAGCCCAATTCACCTATTTGATCTGCATCACTCCCATGCTTAATAATTTGCAAATGAAATCATGGGTTCCTTCTGAAGGTAACATGTTGGCTTGGACCCTCAGATAAAATACAACACTTTTTGAATAATTTTTCCCCTCTTCCCATAGCCATTTATCTCACGATAAAATGCTCCTTGAAGAAATGGAGAGACGGGTTGAAAAGTGCTCATGGATAGTCAGATATTCCCATATGAAATCAAAACGTCCTGATTGAACGAACTTCTCTTGCCTACTATTATTCCTCATTGTTGAAGGAAGCCCTCGTTTCATTTTTATTTGTTTAAAACATTTATATTAGGCTTCCCATTTAAAGAAAAGAGTGGTGTGTTTTGTGATGATTCAAGAGAAAGAGGGTCACCATTCCTGGCTTCCCCCCACAGACTTTGCTTGTCAGAAGGTGGTTGGGGAAGTCTCAAATGACTCCCGGATGCTGCAATTGTTATAAATACCTGCAGTTTCCAAGTTCCAAATTTTGATCACATGACCATGGGGATATTGCAGTGGTTGTAAGTATGAGGACTAGTTACGAGCCAATTCTTTCAGTGCCGTTGTAGCTTCAATTGGTTGCTAAACAAATGGTTATTAGCCAAAGTCTACCTGTACAGTAAAGGATTAATGTGTAGATATGTCTGTGCGCTCTGTGACTTCATGTTGGCTACATAATCGCGGAAATGTCTTTGGACAGCGCTGGTTCAACTGCCCTTGCAATGGAGATGTGCACTGCCCCTATAGTCGGCAGTGATGTGCGGAGTAAAATCTGCACGGACTCCTTATGTGTCTGTGTTGTGAACAGTTGCCGAATAGTTCAAAAGAGGTGCCATCAAAGAGATCAACAAGCAGTAATTATGACTAAGTGGAATGTCAGTTTTATAATTGGACTAGGAAACAATGTAATCACTGTGTCAGAATAATAACATATAACACATTCAGGTTCCTCAGCAGCTCCCCCTCCAAGTCATGATCTAGAAACAGTTCTGTTAAGCCATCATTACAATCCTGTTTAAGTCTGAAGAACTAATTTTTCAGTAGCTGAACTGGCTTATAAGTACTGTATCAGACTCGGGGTGATCTTTGCAATTGGTCAACAGTAGCAAATTGTTCTCCTTATATTGTAGATCAGCAGCCCCCAACTTTTTGGCCACCAGGGACTGGTTCCATGGAGAGAGATTTTTCCGCAGACCGAAGGGGACCTGGTTTCGTGTGCTGCCTGCATCCTGCGGATGGGGCTTCATTTGTTTCTGTGGACCGTGGCATGCTGCGGTCCATGGACCGGGTTTGGGAACCCCTGTTACAGATAGTTATCAGCTGACTTCCATTTGTCCAGCAACCCTTCAAAGTTATGGCGGTGCTGAAAAAAATGGACATATAAATGGTCCCCAAAGTTCTGGCCACCACAACACCCCCATGTTCATGTGATTGTGATCCAAGCACTTGAGTGCCCAGCTCACGATTTATGCTGTCACAGGGAGCTGTAGTTATGCAATCATCATATGCAACCTTCCCAATCATCTTCTGATCAGCAAAGCCAAATGGGCAAGCCAGCAGGGAGACTGCATGTTGCTCTGGTAAATGGCTCCCACCTGCAGTCTCCGCCAGCCCTTCCTCAACCTGCACTATGCAAAATGACTCACATCTTTTGGGATTATGGTGGCAACTGGGACTGCCGGGATTGCCAGCACTAAGCAATTATGGTCATGTGACATCACCCTTTACAACTGTAATAGCAATTGTGGTCCCAGTTGCTTTTGTAACTTGAGGGCTGCCTGTACAGTGTTTTGGGTTCTGCAGGTGAAATCTGATTTATACTTAGCAACAAAACCTCACACATACACACAGTTCTTGCAATCAGCAGTGTACATTATTGCTAGTAATCCCCACTAACAATAGAAGAATGAGCTTTCCCAAACTCAACTATTGTTGAGTAATTTGAAATCCACCAGTTAACCAGAGAATGTTCAACACAAATGAGCTGCCCGTCTTACAATTTTGGAAATAAAAGATATCAATTCAGGCTCTCCAGCAGTAAAAGCATCTGCTGCGATCTGTGGCAAAATGTATAGCTTCTTCATTGACAACTTTCTCTAAAATAGTTTCCGCATAAAGTGATGCCTCAGCTTCTTCCTACAAAATATGACAAAACTGTGTAGACGTAACAACATAACTTGTGACCGCTTCAGCAAAATTGATCTATGGATGCACAACTTGATGAATGTTGGGTTGTATTATTATTTGTATCGTAATTTTATTGAAAAGGCTCTAGGAGGCAAGTTCAGTGCACAAAACCCCCTTTGTTGCCTGTAGTGTAAGTATTTTTTACAGTAATGTTTAAGAGCATAATTATTGACACTCACTCACTAAAACATTTGACAATGCATGATTAATGGCATCCATAGCAAATTTGCCTTCTTCATAATGGTATCGATCTGTGGTTATGCTGGACAATCTGAAGACTACTTTTTGAAATCTAGCCTGCTTTAAATAGAAAGTGTACATGTTTAGACTGTTGGTGTAATTAGTAACATTGATTGAAAATTCTGTGTCAATAAATTTATGAGAACTTTAGTTAACAATAATCAGCTATACTGACCCCATTGTATTCAGTAGCAAATTGGTCCAGGCCAGTTCAAGATATTTGAAGTTAAAGTTACTGGTTTATTTGGGAGTTAGTTTCACTGAATTCTGTTACCTCACTCTGAATAATCACATACAGTATAAATTTTCATGAATTGTCTAGACATTTAAAACACATAGACAATAGCAGTAAATTTAATACAGTACTACCAAACCTGCATATAGCATTTGAATCACCCTCTTAGATAACAGCCAAAGGACTATTCATTTATATTAAAAGCTGCATTGCTTCTATCACAAAGTGTACCTAAACCTCACTTTTGCAATGGTGATGTCAAATAATGGTGCAGGAAGAGAGGAAAAGAGTTGAAAAGATAGCAGATTAAATCTTCTTAACTGCCATGTTCACTCAAGGCTTCTTGACTGAATATTTCACCTGCATACATAAAATATACAGTAGTGGCCAAAATTGTGGAAACCTTTTGGGAAAAGTGTATTTTCTAAAACTAGCTAATACCACCATTTTTGGGGGAGTAGTAACATAAAAAAAAATTATCAATGGAAAGATAATTTAATCAAGAATGTAATGCAATAACGTCTATGAAGGATTTGCTATTAGAATAGCAGTTACAGTATAAAGAAGAAAAGTGAAACACATAGAAAAAAATGAGATATACAAAAATTATCACCATAGAAAAAATGAGATATACAAAAATTATCACATCAGTTAAAACTTAGTTGGGTAACCTTTAGCATGAATTACAGTCTTACATGGAGTGAACCAAGTCTTTTAGTTCTGCAGCTGTTATAATGTGAAACCAAGATTGATTGAATGATTGCTTCTATTAACTGGGTTTTTTTGCTGGGTCACTTCTGACTTAACAAGTTTCTTTAGTCGGCACCATAGATTTTCAATTGGGTTAATGTCTGGGCTATTCCCAGGCTATTCCAGCAATGGAATATGGTTATCTTGAAACTCAAAAATAAAGTGGTGTTATTAGCTATCAAACCTCAAAAATACACTTTTCCCAAAGGTTTCCACAATTTTGGCCACTATTATAATTTTAAAGCGCCAGGCTATAAAGCAAGAGACCCATGAATTCAAGCCAGGCCTTAGGCATGAAAGCCAGTTAGGTGACCTTGGGACAGTCAATCTCTCTCAGCCCAATTCACCTTGCAGGATTGTTATTGTCAGGAAAATATGAGGATGAAAGTGTGTTGGAAACGCTCACTGCCTTGAATTATTTGTAAAAAGGAAGGGAGGAAAGCAGGAAGAGGGAGGGAGGAAGGAAGGTTGACTTTCTCTCTCAAGAATCTCTCCCAGCCTCCTTTAAGCACCTCTAACCCTGTTCCTTTGGCATTGTGTTTTTCAGGCTTCTGGTTGTGACGGTACGGAAATCCCCGACGAGGTAAAATTGATTGGGTTTGCTCAGTTAAGCGTCAGCTGATGCCAAAGCACCTGAAACCCCTCCTCCCCCAGCAAAAGGGTGTGATTGCGAAGAGGCCAGCTTTACATTGTGAAGGAAATTTTTCAAGCACCACACACGGAGTTCCGCTTCATCCAGTAGCACCTCACCAGGTTGGAACAAGCGAAAGCCCACCGCTCCACCACTCCTTGCTAACATTCCAGAAGCCACTCAGTGCTGCTTCAGCAGTTGGGATGGATTTCCCTGACAAGAGAACAGACGGATCGGAAATGCACTCAAGTGGCTGCATCCATTGGTTACAAAAGGAATCTGCTGCCAGAGCTATTTCTTCTTTAATTCAAACAAAACAGTCATTATTTAGTGGACAATTCTGATTCGTTGGTTGTTATGTAGAATGAACGTGATTATAAACGATAGGGTTTATTAGCCAAACTTGAATTCCTGATTTAAAACCAACTGTGAATTCCCCCCTCCCCTTTTATTTATGCAATATATATCTCCTAGCTGTATGAAATTGGACTCCCCCCCCCTTTTCATGATTTATGTGCTAGTTGCAGTTAAATTATGTTTATTTAAAGGGAAGTAGAGATTTCTCTTTGAAGTATTTGTCACAATCCCTAGTTTTGAACTGATGTAGGCATTAGTTTTGGGTTTTGTTTGGTTTGCGTGTTCCTTTAAGCATCCCTCATTGGATTGTCAGTGGCGTGGGAGGTGCCTTGCAAATATTAACGTTCTAAGATTGTGCCTGAACCTATGCTAAACCAAGCTCATCTCATTTTTAGTCACACACCGTGCTTCAATTTTCTGAGTCATGAGAATGAATTATTATAGCAGAGACTCAAAAGACAAATAAATTATGGCCTACTTTGTTGGGGGAATCTATAAGCTGAACCGTGTAAACAGTTGCCATTAAGCTACAATGCCTTTGTTTTACCCGTCATGGATTTGGTTTGTAATTAAGAGATAGGAATTGTTTCATAATAATAAAACTTGAAAAGAATCTGAGCTTTACTTGAAATTCTGCAGAACATCCAGGTGGAGTGCAAATAATAAGAAAGGGCTTTGTGCAATGATTTAAGTGGTGAACGAAAATCAAGAAAATGAAACAAGAAGAAGGTGTTACACAATATTTAAACATTTCTGACCAAAGTAGTCATAAACTTAATCTGTGGCATAGATATTTTGGAGTTAGTGATTTTGGAATGAGATTTCAGTCTGATACATTTTCAAAGGCGTGGACTTACTGGATGTCCCACATAAAACCAATTCCTTGCTAAGTTTAGGTAAACGGCAGCTCTCTAACCTAAGGGGAAAATGGCAAATGTGTTATTTAAAAGTTATTTATAATACCTTGTCATTAATGTTTGAGGTGTTCTAGACCATTGGCATACAATTCAATGTAATTTCATTCCATTCTGTTGTTTACACAATGATTACTTAAAGACTGACTGCAGAGGTAAAGGAAAATAAAGGTGTATTGCACAAATAGATTGCTGACTTTTCTTTCATGATGAATCTAGATTTACTTTAAATTATTCTCTCCTTATTTTCTCATGTCTTAACTACTAGCCATCCGTGGATTGAAACACAAAGGTCAGTTTCTTTACCCTTTTTGTCATTCTTTTTGTTCATTGTGTGTCACAGAAAGTGGCATTTCAAGCCAATCTTGACTGATCTTGAAAAAACTGTACGGAATTTAAATCTGATTAGTATTTGGATAGGAGACCACCATGAAATCCCAGAGCTGCAGGCTACTTTGGAAAGTTGAAAAAACAGTCCTGGAAAAAGAAAAAATAATAAAGTGCTTCTGTTCTATATTGCCAAGGAAATTATAGGAACCTATCAAAATAATCTCCAGTGGCTGAGTTTGGTGGAAGGGTCTCCATCCACAAATTCAGTTACAATTTCTGTTAATGTAGTTGTTCAAAGCAAGTGCACGCAGCCGTGGTGTTAAATCAGGTGAACTGCAAGATACCCAAAACTGCACGTGCTACTGCATTCTGGACCAATCGCAACTCCTGGATGGTCTTCAAGGGCAGCCCCATGTAGAGTGTGTTGCAGTAATGCAAACAGAAGTGACTCTGGCATGAGTGATTTAAGAATAAACCAGGATGTATGGCTTATGAATAGCTTCACTTAACATGCTAAGCCAGGGGTCTGCAACCTTAAATACTCAAAGAGCCATTTGGACCAATTTCCCACAGAAGAGAAAACACTGGGAGCCACAAAACCTGGGTGGGTGTGGCCAACTCGATGTCACTTCCACCAGTCACATGACCCTCTCCCTAGCCACACCTACCTAGCCGGTCATTAGGGCAGAGAACCAGTTGTTAAAAAACACCAGGAACCACAAAATCCTTTTGACATGTCTCTCTCTCCCCTCCCTCCCTCTCTCCCCCCCTCTCCGTCTCTGTATCCCTCTATGTCTCTATCCTGGCTGCTTCTCCCATCCCCCGCCATCACCCCTACCTTCTCAGGCCAGGCGAGGAGTAACGGGGAGGTGAGGGGCGGGGCCAGCCAGTGGTGGGATCACCTGACGGAGCCACAGCAGAGGGCCCAAAGAGCCACATGTGGCTCCGGAGCGGCAGGATGCTGACCCCTGTGCTAAGCCAAATCGAAATGGACCATGTTATATCTTACTTAAGAACTGGTTATCATTAGAATGACATACATGTACTGCTGCGCCTTTGACAATTATATGAAAAAAATGCTGGTGCAGACGTGGATTCCCCCTCCCCCCCCCCAAGGTGGTATTCAGCCAGTTCGGACTGGTTCTAGTGAACCGGTAGCGGAAATTTTGAGTTGTTCAGAGAACCGGCAAATACAACCTGTGGTTGGCCCCGCCCACCCCGTCCCTTCCAGGAGTCCCCACGTATCCCGTTTTGGCTCCCAGGGGGCTTCAGGGAGGCCTAGTCTATAAGGCTGGGGCACCCAATCGATCTATTCGCTGCCTCCCAGGTGAATGGCTGGGTCTTCTTTTGTTGCCCTGCACAGGAGAATGGAGCTGGAAAGCAGGTTAGTGGGGTGGGGAGGGAATGGGGATTTTGCAGTTTCCTTCCCCCGCCACACCCACCAAGCCACAGAACCGGTAGTAAAAAAAAAATGAATCCCACCACTGCCCCCCTTCCCCAGTGGTGCTGGGGTAGATGGTTTAATTGTTGCCAGGCCTACTGTGCTCATTTTAACCCAACAGCTTTGAAACCGTTTGGGGTTAAGTTACTTCAAAGACCCCTTTCCTCCATACCAGCCCATCCAAAGTTTGGAGATTGGGTCAGATGTCTTTTGATCTGGATTAGTGCCCTTCTTAGTTCATTGTTTCCTGGGGTACAGGAGATTTCTTTGTAATACTTCACTGAAAGAGCTCTTAAGACACATTCCCTCTGAGCCTTTCTCAAAACCTCATCATTGCTGCCGCTGCTTATTGTGTGACAATTTTGCAATTGGGTTTTTAAAATACATGAAATACTCAAAGGCATGAGTTAGAAACTCTTACCGCTCTTAACTTTGCAGATTAAACACAGAAAGTCTGACTGTTGTGGCATTAGGAAAAAAATTAGGAGTGCAGAGGGCAAAAACTCCTTTTCAACAGGAAAAGTTCCTGTTCCTTTCTCTGTGGACTGATAAAAACCACCGGCTACAAACTTGAAATTCTCACTGAAATTCTCCCAATTTTGGGGCAGATTCCTTTGCCAGGTCTTTGAACATTTTTCCCCCCTCTTACTATCTTGTTAGCTGGATAGAATTAGTGTGCGAGACTTTTGTATCATTGCCACATTTGTCTTATTGGAACCCTACAGAAAGACGTCTGCTAGTTTGTGAGTCCCCACTGGCAGCATTAATACATTTCTCTCCGTCTGCTCACGGTTCTCTAAATCAGGGTCTTTGCACAGTAATTCTCCAGGAACAGTAGTAGATACCTGAACTCCTTTATATAGCTACTGTTGACAGTCGAGGCCATGCTAATACCCCAAGAGAGAAAAAATATATCAAGTGGAAAGGCAACACTGCCTTTGAAATTAAATTGTGGTAGCTAATGCTCAGCCGTGTATTAATGATGGCATGGAGGGGCATGAATAATTTCAAAGGTTTACCTCAGTGGTGGGTTTCAAAATTTTTTATTACCGGTTCTGTGGGTGTGGCTTGGTGGGCGTGGCATGGCTTGGTGGGCATGGCAGGGGAAGAATACTGTAAAAAGAGCCTTGGTGGTGCAGCGGACTAAAGTGCTGTTAAGTAGCACTTAACTGCCAGCTGCCTGCAATTACTGTGAGTTCAAATCTCACCAGGCTCAAGGTTGACTCAGCCTTTCATCCTTCCGAGGTAGGTAAAATGAGGACCCTGTTTGTGGGGGCAATAAGCTGACTTTGTATAAAAAAGAACACCGCTTGGGGGGGCCAAAAGCCCTATTAAGCAGGTATATACAAAAGTATGAAGGCTATTGTTTAATGCATTGTAAGCCGCCCTGAGTCTCCGGAGAAGGGCGGTGTATAAATCGAACCAATAAATAAATAAACAATAAGTACATAAAAATCTCCATTCCCTCTCCGCTCCAGGGGAAGGTTACTGCAAAATCCCCATTTCCTTCCAATCAGCTGGGACTCGGGAGGCAGAGAATAGATGGGGGTGGGGCCAGTCAGAATTTTTACTACCGGTTCTCCGAACTACTCAAAATTTCCGCTACCGGTTCTCCAGAACTAGTCAGAACCTGCTGAAACCCACCTCTGGTTTACCTGCATAGGTTGAATAAAATATTACTCATGAAATTGTTTGCCATGATATCCAGATATTGGGGGGGGGAATAGCCAAAATTCCTAGGTCTAAAAATAATCAAGAATTAAATGGGTGCTTGCCAAATTTTTTATATTTCCTTCAACAATTTTGATTCAAGCCGATGAGAAAGAAGGAGCTTTTGATTCTGGTTTCCCCTCTTCTGGCATGTTTGCCATTAAATGCCCTCTTAATTTATTGTATCTGTCTTAAGAGACCCATGAAAATAACACAATTGCTGCTATTTAGTACGGACTTTATTTGGTGAATGAGCCTCTGTCCGGAGCCCATTTATTGGGAGAGGAAACACACTATTAAGCTGTCTGATCAAAACTCACAAACTTTATGATTTCACTTGGCTTAATTGGGGGGGAGGGGAGCTGGGAGTTTATCAGAAGTGTCCCAGATACAACATGGATGTTGAATTAGCCATTATCCAGTCTGTGGTACTACACAACCAGTTGCATTCCTTCAGGTGAAGGTATCCTCTATGCCAGGGGTGTCAAACTCGTGGCCCGCAGGCCAGATGCATCACATGGTGGCCATGTCCATCCCCATTTTAGCAAAGGGAAAGTCACAATACGTCATGTGATGAAAGCATGATGCTGTGAGTTTGACACTCCTGCTCTACCCTAAACGTTCCATGTCCAATCATTTAGCAGGAGTGAACCCACACCTATGGACTATACAGAACAACAACATCTAGCATGGAGGACACTTATGCCTGAAGATTAGGCTTATTCATCTTAATAAGGAAGAAATTGCTTTTGTGGTGCCACTGGTTTGTCTTGAAACCTCTGGCTTCAGACCAGGGGTGAAATGCTGCTGGTTCGGACCGGATCGCCTGATCCAGTAGCGATGGCGGTGGGTGGTTCGGAGAACCGGTAGCAAAACTCCCTGCGCGCCCCCCCCCATACCCAGCTGAGCCGCGCGCTCATCAGAGGCTGTTTTTTTTACTTTTAAAAGCATTTTTTCTACAACCTCTTTGGCCAGAAAAATGCTTTTAAAAGTTAAAAAAAAAAAAAGCCTCTGATGATTGTGCGGCTCAGCTGGGATCGTCAGAGGCTTTTAAAAGCATTTTTTCTACAACCTTTTTGGCCAAAGAGGTAGAAAAAAAATGCTTTTAAAAGCCTCTGACGATCCCAGCTGAGTTGCCTGATCGTCAGAGGCTTCTAAAAGCATTTTTTCCTGCAACCTCTTAAGGTTGTAGAAAAAATGTTTTTAAAAGTAAAAAAAAAAAAAGTTGGCCACGTCTAAAAATAATAATAAAAATAATATAAAAATAATAATAAAAGTAAAAAAAATAAAAAATAAAAGTTGGCCACGTCTAAAAATAATCAAGATTTAAACGTCTACCCAGTCACATTACCCCACCACCACCACGCCACACCCACAGAACTTGTAGTAACAAATTTTAGATTTCACCCCTGGCCTAGACTAACACCTTTCAGAAAAAAAACTATACCTGGACAGTATATATGAAAAGAGAAGTCGCGTAGCTTCCTTAGACACAAATTTGTTAAATAAGAATCCATCTTGCAAACACTGAAGAAGCTGAATGAAATACAGGTAGTCCTTGTTTATGACCATAATTGGGACTGGCAGCCACTAAATGAAACTGACTGTGCTTATGACCTTACAGTACTTCAGCTTTCCTTTGCTTTACAGCTGTGAATGTAAGGATTGGTTGTAAAGTTACTTCTTTATCACCATGGTAACGGTGA